TGCTTACAGCACAACAAATTGACTTTTGAGAGAAGGGGTAGACTACAAACGCTTTATTTTTCTTTAAAAAAATTATATGGAATAGAATATTTCTAAGATTTCTTTAAAAAAAAACCAAACAATTTTTCATGAAATAAAAACAAATTTTATTATTAAATTTTAATCAAAAATTAGTTTGTAATAGTTACTTTAAAAAAATGAAAAAACTTTAGAAGAATCCATATAACATCTATCAACTATTCATATAGACACAAAACAGGGAATGCTTATATATAAAAATAACAAAGAAAAATCATGTATCTTTAAATGATACAACTCTACTGAATCAATATGCATCATTATACCTTGATAGAATATTATGTTTTATTATTTTCTTAAAAGTAGGAGTGTATCTGCTCTAAGTTTTAAGAATAAAACATAAAATATGTGCTTTCCTTATTCCAGATGGTAACATCCATCCTCACTCAAACTGAAAGAGATCATCAATGTTTTACTACTTTGACTTTTAAGTGATAAGTTGATTAGATATTTGCTTTTTTAAAAGAAAAAAATATGCACATATCTCTGCAGGCAGGACTGAGTCGAGTGCAGCTGTTTGTAGTGATTTCACATTAGCTGGACAGCCTGTTGGCTGAAACCGTTTTTAGTTATCTTCAATCACTCGATCATTGTATGTTAACCTGGAGCATAAGTAATAATCTGATGGGATGGTTCAGTGATAGAGGACCTTCCCCCTTTTTCAGAAATGTATCTGAAATATTTTAGAACTTCAAGTTGTGATCATATTTACACAACTTGAAGTTCATTAATATTTTGAGTTTTATGTGTTATTTAAAATATGCAGGTCTTGCATGAGTTATGCAAGTTTGTAAAAAACAAAAACTGCTGAGGTTGTCTGATAGGATTTAGCTGAAGCACAGAGTGAAAGCTGAGACATTGAGTTTTTTCCTCTTATAGATAAAAGATAAAACAATGGAGCTTGCTGTGCTCGCCTCTGATAACTCATGACTGCATTGTCTTCTTTTATTCTTGCAAAACTGTAAATCTGCTCCTGGACTTTGCTCAGTATTGACGTTCAGTGTTTACATTATCAGTGCATTTCAAATGTAGCTGCTTCCCTAAACACAACCGAAACAGGTCCAGACAGCTACAGCTAACAGGTAAAGTCCAGTTGCTCACTGCTTCGGCCATCCTTTGTTTTCCCACAGGCCTGCTTTGCATATGAACGCCACTGATTGAATTCAGCTCACTGCTCCACTTTGCTCTTTTTCCAAAAAGTAGTTCCCTAAGATTGTCGTTTGTTGATTAATGTAAAGTTGTAAGTATTACTGGCTTAGTAATGGTTAACCTGAGGCCTCATTGCAAAACTGGAATGAAAACATTTGGTGTAAAGTTAAACTTACTTTTAAAGGAACCTTTTAATCCATCTAACATCTAACTAGCCTTAACATTCATATGTAGCTGCTTCCCTGAAGCCCTAAATACAACCAAAAAGCTATGCTAGTTGTAGCTTGACACAAGATTGTGATTGACAGTGCAAAGTCAAGTCTATTGGCTCAGATTGGTTGTTTCTAGTTAGTGAAACTATCACATTGTACCTTGCATATAGCATCATGTGACACAAACAGTAAAGTGGTTTCAACGAGTTTCTCTTAGTGACTCGTTTTTTTTCCATATCTGTGGTTGACCTTCTCTCAGATCTGGAGTGGGATGGCTGTTGATGTGAGCTGGGAGGTTGGTGAGAGGTCAGGGGATGCTGTGGGGGTCAAAGTCCCACCTTCAAGCATTCAACAAACCCTGTCCCACCCCCGCTGGCTTTGGTGGAACTTTTCAGGATTCTCTGCTGATCGATATAAAAGGTGCTCTGATACGACACACAGACACTGACCTCATTCTCAGCTACAACACCCAGAAAGCAGGTCTGCCCAGCTACTGCAATGTGGAAAGACTCCAGTCATGGTAAGAGTTACAGGATAAGAGTCCCAGGAGCTAAAACTCAGCTATTCTGGTTAAAGTAGATTTTCTTAAGCTAAAAATCAACTATTTTAAAAAAGAAATATCTTTTTATTCAATGTAAAAAAAAAGTAGTAGTTTTTTTAAAAGAAAAAAAGTCACTTTTTTAAACTAGTAATGAGCTAATTTAGGAACAACACAATGTTGCTTTTTAAAGCTAAAATCAACTATTTTATCCAGATTTCTGTTTTGTTGAAACAGTCAGAGTCAAAACTTTTAGGGTGCGTTCACTCTGCAGCCTGAAGTGACTCAATTCCGATTTTTTTACATAATACGACCTGTATCAGATCTTTTCTTGGTAGTGTGAACAGCACAGATTATTTTTATTGGATTCTTTTTCGAATGTGACCCATATCCGATACGTATCCCCTTCAAATGCGACCTAACGTCCAGGCCGCATTCATCCGAACTGAACGTCACTGATACTCAACAAATTCTGCGTCCTGATTTGCGCAAGCGGGAAGAAAAACAACAACCATGATGGACAATATGAGGATTAAGTTGTTAATAGTTAATATGCTACTCAACAACTTCTTTAAATGTGTAAGCTAAGCTCCACCGTTAGCCTCCATGTTTACTTCCGCAAACACTGAGCACTACTTCTTTTTATGGCGGTTGGCAGAACACTGAGAACGCTGACGCTATAGCGCCCTCTACTGCGGATGCGGGACACTTTCAGGTCATTTGCCCTTTCGGACTGCAGAACACATACAGGTCACATATCTGTGTCAGCAGAAAAACCGGTTTGACAGAAAAATCGGAATTGGGTCACTTCAGGCTGCAGTGTGAACACAGCCTTAGAGACAGAGGAGAAACATGTGCATCTTGCTAAGTAGAAACTGCTAGTTATTTATCACTGCTCTTTTGTTATTTCAAGTTTATTTATATTTCATGAATAAAATGTGTTTTAACAATAGAAAAATATGTTAAATTTGTCGTATTTGCTCTTGTGTTCTGCTTTGCCCCCTTCAGCCAGATGTTTCTGGTAGAACATAAACAGTTTCTCAGAGCCTTGCACCTTATCTCTTTCCCCAGATGAGAGCCGGCCTACGGCCTCCAGCAGCGGCTCATCTCGCAGCGCCAGCCGCAGGAAGAGGACCAGCTTCTCCAAAGAACACGTCGAGCTTCTGCGCACTACCTTCGAAACCGACCCGTACCCCGGCATCAGCCTCCGGGAGAACCTGTCCCAGACCACCGGCTTACCAGAGTCACGCATCCAGGTAAGAAGCTACGCAAACGATGAGTTAGAACAATAAAATATCTCTGTGTTTGACTTCAACATGGAGCATTTCCATTACCAGAGCAGCAAAGAGAAAATGTGAAAGAGAAAAAATAAAAGCCAAAAATACACTTTACAAATGGAAAAATTAAATCCATATATATATTTAGTATAATATTAAAAATACAGAGAAAACAGGATCAACTGTGTTAAATACCAGGAAAAGAAGCTGGAAAAACTTTTGTTTTTATTTATTTACTTACTTGGTTGTTCATAATCTATGTATAAATATATTTCTTTACACTTTTCATTTTATACTTTGCTTATTTCTGTCAAATCTAAAATTAATCTAATTTTAGACACAGAGGGAAATATTATTTATCTATTTCTGTATTAGTATTTATCCTATAATTATCCTTTTTCCCCTTTTTTGGTTTGTTTGTGTTTTAGTTTTTCTGTTGTTTTTTTATTTGCATATGGAAAGGTTAAAAATGACTAAAATAAAAAAACCCAGATGAAACTAATACAGAAATATATAGTTTTAAAAGTGTCCTACATTTCAGATCCTACTAATCCACGTGTCTTAAATCTGAACCTGTTTTTATCTCATTTGAGGTTCCCCTGATTCCTGTTCCTGTTTGTCTGGTGAATGTTTAACTGAATCTGTTTTTAATCAGCTCTGTATTTAAATTCTGACTCTTGTTTTTTTTATTTCCTGTCCAGGTTTGGTTCCAGAACCGTAGAGCCCGCACCCTGAAATGTAAAGACGCAAGAAAGGCTCCGTGGCTGTCCAGCAGCCCGCATCATGATGCTTTCCCTTCACCTCCAAGCGCCGCCGGCAGCGGGTCATCTGCGCCGCTGAGGCCTCTGGGGCCGCTGCCCGCCTACCCAGGACCCGTCAAACTAGAAATGGACAACGCCGCCTACTACAGCCAACACCCTCCTGCTTACTCTCCCCCTGGACAGTACGGATCCTTATTTGGGCTTCAGAGCAGCCACACCAAAATGTCCAGTCCGCCCATGTGGGGCATGTGGCCGCAGCCCGGCACCCAAGCCTCTGCTGTTCCCCCTTCATGGTGCAAACCATTGGAGATGATGAGCTTCACCACCAACGGGTCAAACGTCTCGTACCCGGAGCAGCAGATGTACAGCACCTCCTCCGCCAGCTCCCAGTCCTCCACTCCAGCCACGCCGGACTCTGGGTTCTGGGACTCCTGCATCGGGAACAGCCCTCAGCTGGAGAGGTTTTGGACCGGGATGGTTCTGGAGGACAGCGAGCTGCAGTACCCGAGGGCGGCCCCACAGGCCCCGCAGGCCCTTTCACAGGCCCTTCCACAGGCCCTGCAGACCCCGCAGACACTGCAGACCCCACAGGCCCTTCCACAGGCCCTTCAGACCCCACAGACCCTTCAGACCCCACAGACCCCACAGACCCTTCAGACCCCACAGACCNTTGTCTTTTTTCAAGTGTAATATGATATTTACACTAGAATGTAGACCAAAATTACTTGGTAAGACTTTGTGTTTGTGCAGTACATAATGTAACTTCCAGGTTCTGAGAAAGTTTAAGAATTTTATTTTATTTTTTTTTACATAATTTCTTCATTTTTTACTCCTATCTCATTAGAAACAATAAGGTAGGAATAACATTAGCCTGTTTCTATCCATGGATCAGTTCTGTGACGATAGGCACCCTCACCAGCAGGTATTTGGGGTAACAGAGGCATTGTGGAGGATGTTTTGACCTTTCGTTTGTGTCCCCCTGCAGGCCTTAAGCTCATCAAAAGCAACTCGACTCCTCTGAAGACCCCCGCCCCGCCCGGCCCTCTGGATACGGTGCAGCTGAAGGATATTGTGTTTTACCTCTCGCTGCTGGAAGGCGGGCGCCCTGAGGACAAACTAGAGTGTTAGTATCATCCTATGTCTGATTCTGTTATCATCATGAAGTCAGAGGCAAAGGTACATTGCATGAACCAGTCACAAATAAGGTTACATGTTCAAGCTGTAGTGGTTCACAGGGAAGCATTTTGACTGATTTAAAGTCTATTTTAGGGCTGCTCCTGTAGCTGTGGCTGCTAAGAGATGCTCCCTGTTTTTGTCAAGTTAATTTGTGGGGGAATTTTAGGCTACTTAATACTCTGTAGGTATCACCTAATACTAGGAGGTATCAGTTAGGGGGTTTTGTAGTTAACAAAGCATGCTAACTACAAGTGCTACTCCTGTTAGCATGACTTTTGTTTGGCTAAATTAGCAGTAAAGAAGCCCTGACCACTTTAAACGTGTTGCAACATTTTGGTAGAAAATGGGTGCTTCTGTTTTAAATGTTAAATGTATGAATTGATTCAAACTGAACTGAATGATTCCCACTTTAAATCAGGTCCTGATTGAAGTTAAAGCTGGACTGAATTATGCTGCAATGATTACAGATGATCTAAAATAGTTTGTGATTTGAAGAAATATATTCTTTTCAGACACAACATGGTTGTGCTAAACAAAAAACGTTCAAATCTAATCTCATTAGCTAATTGTGTTATTGAACTACTGCTAAAAACACTGATTAAAGTGTTTTATACTGGTTTTGTTGATTCGTTAGTAGGTTCTGCTCTTGTAACATTGATTTTCCTATGAGAACTATAACGATTTGTTTTACAAAATGGCAGTCCTTCTAAGCTAGAGTCATGTTTTCGTCAGAAAAGCACTTACTTTGGAATGTGGTTTTTCTATTTCAACACATGACCACCCAAACAGATCACTTCAACTTTTCCTTCTGTAAACAAGGTCAAGCAAACACATTTTTGTCATTTAGTAGACAGAGCAAAATCTGAAGAAGTGTACAAACACAATGAAAAACGAAGTAAAAACAGTAAGATTAGATCATCTGCATTAAAACAACTCCGGCAATGACAACCAAAAATGAAAAAATCTGTCAATGATCTATCCTTGTGTCCACAAAACCGGTCCTGTTTCTGAAGAACAAACCTTGTGAGCCAAAACCAGACAGCTGTTTCAGACTCAGAACTATAAACATCTGATAAAAGACAGGAAAAAATAAGGTTCTACATCCATTTAATAAAATCTACCTGAGATAAATTTATGCTGCAGGTTATTTATACAGAATTCTGTTACACTTCTTAATTGGGATGAAGTGAGTCTTTATTCAGTGATGTTTCACTGTAATTCTCAGTCGCATGTTGAATAATTGAGAGGAATGACTATCGTTAAGCATAGAGATTACTAAATAATTTAATTCACTCTTCCTTCATGACTATTTCTGAACACTAACGCCAAGCGATATCTCATTGAACCTGAGGTTATAGTCTTGTTACTTCATTGGAGGAGGACTCCCTCTGCTGGCTTGCTGATGACTGCTAAGCTGATTTACATAGTTTATGTTATATATGTTTTTATGTATCCGCTTGTCCTGTTGGAGTGTGAAGTGTCCTTTCAGTCTTAAGATAATTATTATGTAAAACAGAACACAGTCTTTCTTTCACTACATGATAATTTTACTCTGAGATTTTTTGGGGAAAGCAATGAGCAAAAGATTATTGCCAAATAAGGCACCGTTGGTAAATTCAAAAATATTTTCTAGTTTACTTTCATCTGTCCAAAGAAAGTCTTCTGATTGAGTTATGCAGCTGTCTCCTGAGCATGCAGTCCAGATACGCAGAGTCCTGCTGATGCAATAAATATTTGATGCAAATGCAAAGCAGAAACATGTAGATTTTATATTGACACCAACAGGCAACCTTTCCAAACCAGCCATTGGTGTTCAGTGTGTTTATAACTTTGCTATCAGTAATCCTAACATTTTACCTAATAGCTATCGTATGCAGAGTGAAATGGAGCTTTGGGGTTTTTTGGTAGCTTCTTTGAAGATTTTGATCTCAGAGAAAAGTTTTCACTTGACTTTAATGTTTTCTACTCATGAATAATTGCTTCTTACTATTGCATTTCTAACATCCCTGTTGATTTTGTTCCTTGGCAGTGTGTTAACACACACATCTTTCTTGCTTGTCGGTTTTAGGCTCACATAATGTGCAGCCTTGGGTCTTTCTGCAGCCATCACACATCAGATAAACACATCTTTATCAATCTGACAGGACCTGCACCTGAGTAACAGCAACACCTTCTCTAAAATAAACGTCTCTGACAGATCTGCCTATGCACGCTGTTTTGTTACCATGGTAACAGCGACTTGTTGCTTGTGTAACAGAAACAGGCCCAGGTCACAGCATCTAAAGAATAGACACTACTTCTTCTTGCAAAAATAATAAATATGTGAGATTTTCTTACTCCCTTTTTAAGAGACACAGGAAGGTGCAATCATACGTTGAATATAACTTTACTGTCGATGTTTAATTTAAATGCAAACAGCTTACAAAGGAAATTTTCTTTTTATTTGGAGCCACTAGAAAACATCAAAGAGTAAAATTATGTTTTATTCCACAGTTTGTCTGTAAATGTTCACTTTAAAGATTGAGGAGGTTGAGCACAGATCTAGAACAGTCTTTCTGAAACTGTGGTTCCCGAATCATTCGTGGTCCGCGGGCGGCCCCTGGTGGTCATAAAGGTACTGCATGTAAACGACCGTTTATTTGTCGTGACGTCAGCTCAAAGTGCGACGCTACAGCTAGCTTAGCAAAGCATCGAAGTTTAAAATAATAATGGATAAGTGGCTTAAAACCGGGTCACTCAAAAGAAAAACTGAATAGAAAACAAGTCTAGGACAACTTGTACGATCTGTGGAAGCTAAGTTATACCTCCTGAGAGTTTTGATGTGTCGTTTACGAGCGATTCGATTCTTTTGAGCGGCTCTAAGCCGTTTACGGTAGGACTCAGTGAGAACTGTTTATTTATTTATTTTGCTTGCTTATAATGCTCTGCTCACGCCTCAACAGCTATTGTTTTTATTTAATTGAAGATTACTAAATTAAATTAATTAAATACAATATATAAATAAATGGGTGAATATATTTTTTATATTAAATGGTACAGGAGAGGATTTTTGTTTTTGCCAAATAAAATTTTTAATTGTACTTCTAAATTAGGAGCTTAGAAAACCACACTTTTCACAATATGTAAATAACTCAAAATGCACCGAGTGGAATTGTGTTAAGAAACTTAATATTTTTATTTCTCAGTTTAAGATGTTATTGCGGTGGAATTTCAAGTTAGGTTGTCTGCGAGTGTTTGTTGAATGTGTAAAGTGGTCCTCAGGCTGAAAACGTTTGAGAATGATCTAGGACTAATATTTGGCTGTGTTTTTCATTTCCACAGTTATGTTTCGTCTCTACGACACAGATGGAAATGGATCGCTGGATAGCTCGGTGATTATTTTTACCTCTTTTCTCTTTCAAGTCGAGCACATAAATCTGTGTGTTTTTATTCCCCACTCAACAAAGAGCTGGTTTGGATCATCCAACATTTGTGCACAGAGAAAGAAAGGCCTGTAAAAATCTCATTAAGTGTGACCCAACATCTGGAATCTTACCAGGAACACAGGTCGTTCAGAGCAAACAAAATCACTAAGATGCCATTATGAAGCTGCAAAAATGCAGTGAAGTAATAAAACACTTGCTAAGAACATATTGGCTTGTAGTCAATTATTGTGCAACCCCCTCAGTTTAGTCCTTACTGCCTGTTACTGCTGCATGCACAACTGTGCTCAGGTGCAAACACCCACACAAACACACCTGATCCTGCCCTCCAGGTGGCGCAATGTGGTCTAAATGCATCTGTGAAAGGACGCCTCACTGAGCTACAACAAACAAATCAAATCTGGTTCATTTAAGGAGAAAGTTGTTTCTGTTTTCTTTTTCCCTCATGCAAAAACAGATGACATTTCATGCTGCTTTTCCAAAATGGTCCAATTATTTGATGAATGAATTAAAAATATATTACACTTATATAAAGCTTTTATTATATGGAATCCTTACACATATAGATAGAAATTTTTTCTTAATAAAATCTGAAATTTAGTTATTTACAATTATGGCCAAAAAATTGTGTCCATATTCTGCAAAGTATATTTCAATCTAAAGTGTAAGAAAAAACTGAAAATGTCCTGGGATTTTTACTGTAACTTAACATTTTATTATGTTAAATTTACTTACATGTCTGTATGTCCAAATCTGTTGTTTTTTTTTGTTTTTTTACAGTATATTTTGTCACATTTTCAATTATTTTTTTGTCATCCAAAAACATTTAAGTCTGTGTTATATATTAGATGTGTTAAATATATTGTAGTTATACTGTAAAATATCATATTGTCGCCTTCCTAAAATAATGGCTTAATTTTATTTTATTTTTTTGGCAAAATGTGACGGCAAAAAAACAACAACAGACCACTTTTAGGCAGGTGACAATATATGAAATACAACAATCATTTTCATGCAGCTGATAACTTAGCAGTCTGTTTTCTCCTGACTGGTCATTGTGGTAATAAATATATTGAAAGGTTCAGATATTTTATTGAATGAATTTTATTTTTTATTTTTATTTTATTCATTTTAATGAATCCAATATACTGACAAGGATTTTTCTATCGATCTAACTATATTTAGTCGTGTTAGTTCTTCAACAAAATAGTTTCATAAGTTGAAGTTTCCTCCTGTTAGCTGTCTTATAGACTAACATAATAAATTATAATATTGAAAATCTGCTCATCAAGTCGTTTCTGGAAACTATCTGCTTTTTAGAAACATTCTCTGTTTTGATACCTGAATAAGTTTGTTTTTCTATCTTTATTGCTGCGGTTAAAATAATTTAACATGAAAAAAAAAGTAAGTTTGTAGGTAAAGTTAGTAGGAAGAAGTCTTTAAAAACACTCATTGCTGGAAGTGGGAAAAATTAGAGAGTTTTTCCAGTAAGATCCATATTAACACCAAAACATGAACCCATGATTCTTCTCTACCAAAACATGAACCCATGATTCTTCTCTACCAAAACATGAACCCATGATTCTTCTCTACCAAAACATGAACTCATGATTCTTCTCTCTCCACTTCAAAAATGTCCTTAGCGTCTTGATAATCCAGTGTGGCACCAGACACAAATGTCAGGCTCTGTGTAATTAAACCATCAGGCGAGGAGCTCTTCCCACGCCGCCTTTGTTTCCCGCTGTGCAGCTCTTCTGCACGTGTTCCCAGCCTGCTATTACCAGCTGTTTATCAGTCTCCATACGGGAAGGTAAATACTGTATTTCTGTGTCTGTAATGACTGTCTGTGATGCAGGAGCTGGAGCACATTATCTCCCAGATGATGCACGTAGCAGAGTACCTGGAATGGGACGTGACGGAGCTCAAACCAGTAAGAACGACATTTTGCCAGGAAATACATTACAAAACATGCTTCATTTTAGAGGTATTCTGATAAAAACTGAGGCACTTCTGGAAAATGCATGCAAAATTGAGCATTTTTGTTATATTTGCAAGAATATACCATTTAATTTCTTGCATATACTCACTGGGAAAAAAATTCCAGAATAGGAATATATTGTATTCTACAAAACATGTACCACAATTACTGCTTTTTTATTAATTAAATTAGTGTAATCAAAGGAATTTAATAATTTATACTTTAAATTTTTTAAGTTGATCAGTTACTCAGTACCTTAAATTAGTACCATATTTTCTGTATTGATGGATGAATATGATAAATGTGAATATTAAGAACATTTTTACTGGAGCAAAAATGTGAATTATGAGCGTGATGTGTAAGGTTTGTAGCTGCTGTAAATTAAATAATGTGACTCAAAATATTACTCTATTGTATTCTACAAAATTATATAAACACAAAATCATACCAAGTATTTTTTATCTCGTTTCTAGTACCCTTGAAAGAGGACGAAACTAACTTTAAAGTAACTTTTCAGCAAGAAATATGAGCCTCTTTTAAGTAAATAATTCCTTCATATTGATGAAAAAGTCTTAGTTCCATTGGCAGATTATTTCACTTATAACAAGACATTTTTTCCATATTGTAAGTGAAAAAATCTGGCAAAGGAACCAGGACATATTCATCAATATTAAGGGAGTTTCTACTTAAAACAAGCTCCTATTTCTTACTAAAAAGTTACTTCTAGGTTAGTTTTGTCTTATTTCAAGTTTACTAGAAACTAGATCAAAAATACTTGGTATGGTTTTGTGTTTTGCAGTGTATGTGCCACAATTATTGGTGTTTTCAATGAAATTAGTGTAACAAATGGATTTCAGTAAGTTATACTTTATTTATTTTTTGAAGTTTATCTGCTTGTTAAACCTTAATCTGTACCATGTTAGTAAATTATTGCATCATCTGTGTTGTTGGATGAATATGAACTATTATAGTTTTAATGGCTGTGCCAAAAGGTGTGGAGCAACAGTGTAAATTACCAGTGTGATGCTTCGGTTTGTAACTGAAAATCCAAACTGTTTTATGTCGCAGATCCTCCAGGAAATGATGCAGGAGATCGACTACGATCAGGACGGCACGGTGTCCCTGGGGGAGTGGATCCAAGGAGGCCTGACCACCATCCCGCTGCTGGTCCTGTTGGGCCTGGAGACGGTGAGGTCACACAGAAACCGCCTGCGTCTGCCACTTAGAAAAAAATTAAACAAACCTGAAAGAAATCTGCAAAAGCAGGTAAAAAATACCACTTCTTGGTTACCAGGTGGAAGCTGATATTCAAACATACTGAAGTTTTGCTTCATTTCTTAAATTTTTCGTTTTCATTTGACATCATAAAGGCGCGAAAAGAGAAAATTACCTCCGTGGCGTGTCATCAAACCTTTTAATTGTCAATCAGTGTTTAATTGTTGCTTTTAATTTATCGCCACAGCTACATCAGATATTCTGTTTGTTGCAATAATGTAAAAACTAAAATTAAATAAACAGTGAAACGTTTCACACCGTTGTAAAAACACATTCATAAGACAATTTAACACTTTCCTTAAGAGCTTGTGTATATATAATGTCTTACACCTTACAAGTGTAAATTAGCTTTATTATCCTCACCTCTCCTCTCTGTTTAACCTCAGTTCAGATCCGTCCTGCAAGGTGATTGTTAATTACTCTAAATTTGACACATCCTTTCTCTAATTACATCATGTAAATAGTAGTAATAAAAAGAATAAAGAAAATTAGTCTTAAGCAAATGTTTCTGTTGTAGTAGCTTCGTGTTTGTGGTGTTTTAGTGGGTTTTTCCACATCTTTATGATCTATTACTCTTAAAGTTTTTCCCAGCAACATAGTGGAGTCTATATTTATAGTTTACACACTTCTTTTCTAGTTTCTCTCCAGATCAGATTAGATTTTCTGTGTCTCTGCCTACTTTCTGAACCTTCAGTTCTGCTCTGTCATGCTGTAAAATATTAAATAATCATTGCTGAACCGTTCCAGGATGCCTGATGAAGTTTGAATTTGTTTCTTTCTTTAGACTTCAATCTTCTTGGTGAAGAATTGCAAAGAAATTGACTCTTAAATAAGAAACAAGCCTATAAACTACATTAGGAGGCTTCACTGCTGTGAACTTTTAACTTTGTTTTTCTTCCACTTGTTCCTAACAATAAGGGAAGATTCATCACAGTAGTGCAAAATACATTTGCAGTATACATTGCAATATAAGTCCACCTGCTGCCTTGAAAAAGCAATTTAAGTCACCAAGAAAATTGTTTTGTTTTTAACTCTGAAATTAAAGGTCGTGAAGTCCATTTAACAAGAGACAAGTCGTCTAAACTTGTTTTTAAAGTTCATTAATCTTGAATTCTGAGTTTTAACTTAATTAATTTAAACCAATTTAAACCAAATAGTTATTTATTAATAATTGTTAAAAGATGGTTCCAGTTCTAGCTGGTGTTTTTTTTACTGAATCTTCTTTACTGGAGCTGAAACATTTTTGATCATTTGAGAATCTGCAGTATTCTGAGTAACATTTTGCTGCATGAGAGGTCATTTTCATGCTAAACAGATGCTGGCTGCACACCCTTTTCCTCGTTTGAGTGATTGTCTGCTTGCCATTGCTTTGTTAGCTAACCAGAAAAGCTTTTTATTGAATCTAAGAAAAGAAAAATTGCATTAGAGAACAACTTTCTCATACTAACTCTGAGAGTGTAATTCTTACATCGTCCACTAGATGGCTGCATTTCTCTGTCCCAACCAGCGTTGGTTTTCTATTTATGAATGAATTAATGAATGAAATATTTCTAATAAATGAACTGAAACTGAATTCAGAGTTTCCTACAGAATCCCTCTCATTGTTCCTATAACAAAAATAATAACATAAAAATAATTCTTCACTGTCTTCCACTATAAGAAACACATGGAATCGTATGAAGCTCCTAGTTCCTAACGCTCCTAACAAAGTTCATGATAAAAAGTAATGGATGTTTCTGCTTGTTCAGAATGTGAAAGACGATGGGCAGCACGTGTGGAGGCTGAAGCACTTCAACAAACCCGCCTACTGTAACCTGTGTCTCAACATGCTAATTGGGCTGGGGAAGCAGGGACTCTGCTGCTCATGTGAGTCTGACACTCTGCATTTCATCTCTAAATACACAAACAATCATCCACTGTTTGTGTATTATCGACATTTTTATTTGGTTTCTAATGAACCATCTGAAAACAATGTTTAGTAGCGTATTCTCACGCTGATGTTTATTCAGAGGAGAAAGTTTATGTTTGGATTTTTTATTTTTATTACATGAAACCATGCTTTCATTTTGTCAACATTTGTCAAGAATGGATCAAACAGAGAGAAGGATTTCTGGATATTATAATCTGTTTGCAGAGTTCAGGATTCTTACGGATTCTCTCATCTGTTGAGGTTTTCTAATCATTTATGTACAGGAACTAAGGCTGCGTTCACACTGCAGCTTAAACTGACCCAATTCCAATTTTTGTTTTGCTGTAATGCGACCCGTATTTGATATTTTCATGACAGTCTGAACACAGGCCAGATTTTTTTTTGAATGCGACCCAGGCCACTTGGGTATCCGATTCAAATGTGACTTGAATCTGAACGTCCAGGTCGCATTCATCCGACCTAAACGTCATTGATACTCTACAGATGTCACTGTTCTGCGTCCTGATATGCACAAGCAGGAAGAAAATCAACAACATGGCGGACTATAATGAGGATTAAGTTGTTAATGTGCTGCTCCGGTTGGACAACAACTTCAAATATGTAAGCTAAGCTCCACTGTTTACCTCCATGTTTACTTCCGCAAACACTGAGCACTTCTTCTTTTTTATGGCGGTTGGCAAAACACTGAGCATACTCTGTATGTGTGACCTTATTGCGCCCTCTACTGCGCATGCGGGTCACTTTCAGGTCATTTGTTGTTCACTAGATATCACAAACAAGCCTCATATATTTGGAAGTGTGAACAACAACGCCAAAAAAATCAGATTTGATAAAAAATTGGATTTGGGTCACTTTAAGCTGCAGGTGAACGCAGTCTAAGGCGGTTGATTTTGATGCCCAGTTAGCCATTTATGTGTTGATTTAGCAGCGCGTTTGGATTGTTTAAATTTAGTATTTATTTGCAGAAAAATAAGGAAAAGATGCTTTCAGACCTCAAATAATGCAAAGAAAACAAGTTCATATTCATTTAGAAACAACAATACTAATGTTTTAACTCAGGAAGAGTCCGGAAATCAATGTTTGGTGGAATAACCAGGAGGTTTTCCACCACCAGAGTGCAGTGGGCTCTTCATTTTTACCATAGATGTATATATTTTTATGGACCGTTTATTTTATTCTGCCTTTTATCAGTTTGCAAGTATACGGTCCATGAGCGCTGTGTGGCTCGCGCTCCGCTTTCTTGCATCAAAACGTACGTGAAGTCCAAGAAAAACACTGAGGTGAGTCCTGACAATGATCTTCTGCTACAACAAATATTACTGTTATTAAGCATTACTTATTACCAGGATAATATTTGGACTCTAAAACACATGCATCATCACTCGTTTGGCCTCTTGTCTTTCTTTTCTCTCCTTTATTTCTCGTTTCCTCCTGATTGTTTTCTCTCCTTTCTGCTTTCTTTAATTGTCGTGTCACTTCTACCTTTGTATACATCTTGTTTTTCTGCACCGCGTTTCTTTTTCTCGCTGCTTTTCCACCCAGTATGCCGTCTCTCCTCCTCTCTGCAGGTAATGCATCATTTCTGGGTGGAGGGGAACTGCCCCACCAAGTGTGACAAGTGTCACAAAACCATTAAGTGTTACCAGGGCCTGACTGGGCTCCACTGTGTGTGGTGTCAAATCACGGTAAGCCACCCCTCGCTGAGAGGCAGCCACCTCCTCATTATATTCCCACTGCTTCTTGTTGTTTAGGCTTTCATTTTGGCACCTCTGATACCTCACAAGTCATTTCGCCAATTTACACTCAGAAAACACTTGTTTGCAGCTCTAAGATAATAGAAAATAAGACGGAGATGGCGACGTGTGCATTTGCAAATAAACCCTGAAAACGCAGCTGAAATATTTATTTCTGTTGCCACTAGTTTGAGGTTGTTAATAATAGCTTCCACCTCCTCCAGCTCCATAACAAGTGTGCTTCCCACGTCAAACCTGAGTGTGACTGCGGACCCCTGAAGGATCACATCCTGCCCCCAAACTCAATCTGCCCCGTCGTCCTGGTAAGACTTCGCTTGTTCTGGTCAGCGGGCCTCGAGGCAGAGAGAGCCTTCGAGACCTGATGATCCAATCATCAGACCTGAGTTCTCCTACTGTGCTTCAAAGTGGCAGCAATTTATTTTTTAGAACTTTATTCTGAAAATTGCACAAGTGGATAAAAGTGTGCCACCATAACGCAACTTTCTTTCTAATCAACTGCAGATTTTTCTTTTATTTTTGGGGAAAAATAGTTATTCTTTCAACTTTGAATTGGTTTATAATAGAGTAGAATAGAATAGAATAGAATAGAATAGAATAGAATAGAATAGAATAGAATAGAATAGAATAGAATCGACTTCATTGATTCCCAGGGGGAAATTGCTTATTCGTTGACAAGCTACTCTATCTATGGTGTTAAATATTAATAATACAAATACAATCATAAGAGATAAAGTTTGTAAAATATACAGATATACCCAAGAGCGATGTAAGTAATTCAACATGATGGAATATAAATAAATAATAAATAGATAAATAAAAAAAGTAAAAATTAATAAATAAATACATTTAATTCATCTGTACTAGATTCACAAAGCCAATTGTTCTAAATTAATACAGATTCAACTACAGCATCAAGAAGGAATTTGACAATAATTTGAATAGAATAAAATATACTTTATTGACCTCCAAGGGAAAATTGCTTGTATGCTGACAGCTACTCCATCCAAAGTGTCGAATATCGGTAAATACAAATATAATATTTTTGATATCAGGCTTCAGTTACCTTTATTGCCACAAGCACAGATGTGACTAACATTAAGGAAATGTATTTGATTGGTGATTATCTGCTAATATATCTGTGACTCCTTATTGAGGAAAGTATTAAGCCCAACTTCTTTGACCTCTGTGGCTATTTTTTATTTAATTTTTTTGAATTCAGGTCTGTTTTTATCCGTTGATCTGCACCAATATTACTACCAGCTTTCAGCAGGGGGTATTTTTTCTGTGATCTTGCACCAATTGCTATGGTTTTCAAGCAATGTGTCAGAATTGTTTCTGACACATTGCTTTCCTCAGAATTCTGACTTTAATCTTGCAAAATGAAACGTTAGTATTCTGAGAAAAAAATCCAGATTTAAAATGTTCTTTTTTGTTTTCTAGTGGTCTTAATCATCTTCCTCATCATTGTGTTAAACTCCTTAGAAAGAAAATTTAAAACAGCAGGTCAGAGTTCAAAGAAAGATGGACGTGATAACTGGCCAGAAAAAGTGTAATTGAAAGCTCAGGAACTAAAACCGTGAACGAATAACTACAGTCTGACTCCTGCATCTTGCATTTTTCTGATCTCTGGATCTTGTTTTGTGCTGCTGTTTGGAGTCAAACCTCGAACCGTTTTGCTGTGTCACTTCAGGAACGGCAGTCCACTCTGAGGAAGGACTCGCGGTCCAGTCAGTCGAGTCGAGGAAAGATGCAGAGAGCGAACTCGGTCACAGTGGACGGCCAAGGACTGCAGGTTAGCCGCACACCGGACAAATGTCTTGGCTGTTACTGACATTTCAATACATAGGTACAAAGAAATTCACACTAAAATCACACAGTAAATACGTGGCGATCAGTTAGTTTCATTATTGTGTCAAGAATTTGTTATAAAATGGTTGAAAATGAAAAACCATATATTTTACCAAAGGAAATGAGGATTATTACAAGTCAGTACCACCGTATGCATTCATTGGGAGCTCTTGTAAAGATGTGCTTTCTTTCATTGCAGCACCTTAACTGCCTTGTTGCTGAAAAAGTGCTATACAAATAAAAGTCCTTCTTCTTCTTCTTCTTCTTCTTCTTCTTCTTCTTCTTCTTCATTTTCACATAAAAACATATAGAAAAACCCAACCTTTAATGTGAAAAATGCTCTTTCGGAAGGGAAAAAATCGTTCTTCTCACTAACTCACTAAAATTCCCACAATTAATCTAAAATAAAGTAACTGAGGCATGTTTTAATATATACTTTACAATTTTTCAGCGGAGTAATTGAAATGATCCCAGTCACTCTTTAAAATGGGAAGGGACATGTTTTATAAGTCAGTCCTATATCTTACTAAATCAGGAAATGGCGACTGGAAAGTAGCTAAGCACAAAATTATTTCTATCATTTTATGCATCTTTACTCAGGTAGCTGATAAAAGTAGAGTGTAAAACAGATGACGTCTTTATAACCAACCATATGTCACCCAAACTCATCTGAACTTCTGATCCAGGCAAAGTTTTAAATCAGTTAGTTTGAGAAGCTACAGGTGGTGTAAAGACAGCGATATCGCCTCTCATTATCAGCATATCAGGCCAGTTTCCTGTCGAATCTTAAGATTTGACGTGAGCCTCTGCAGTTGGTGAACACCGCCAGTCCTGCTGGTAATCAGCATCATCCATAATCAACATCCTGATCCTCTGCCAGCACACCGCCGATGGAAAACCTGCCGCCGTCTGCGGCGAGCGCTCGTCTGCACGCGGCTTTAGGAGAGAGAAATACGATGAATCAAATCCCGGCCACATCCATCTCTGCCTCTCGCTGGCTAACCAGCGTAATAATCAAGATTATTATTTATAATTACAGGAAGTAATGGATCACTCTGGACGGGACAGGGAGCTCATTAATTCACCCTCGGCATGCTGGGATAGCAGACAGGGGGAGTTAAGTGCTTCATCTGTGTCAGGCAGAGCGCTGGGCGAGTTGTTGCAGGACAGTTCAAATGGGGCGCGGGCCTGAGGCTCAGACCGGGTCCAGAACCTCAGGCAAACTGGGAGATTATGTCTGATCATATATTTGAGACAAGGTATCGTCATATTATACCCACGACCTCTCACCTATGACCTGTTATACTTCCTTGATCTGGTCTATTGATCAGGGGTGTCATTTTCGTTGTGGCCCAAATCAAGACCATGAATGCTGTTAAAGGGCCGGTTGTGCCAGAATGCATTGATAAAACCTGTTCACAAACTGTTGAACAACATCACAGAGACTTAGAAACACAGCAGAGAGCAGATAGATTCTAAAATTATTTCCCAAACTCTGAATAAATGAAAGAATTTCAGCCATCATACAAAAATAGAGTATTGCACAAGTAGAAACCTACCAAGTCATATGCATCCACCTAAACTGACAGACTGGACAACCAGGAGGTCCATGGTAACTCTGGAGGAGCTGCAGAGATTCACAACTTCTGCCTGTTACCTAGAATCCACCATTTCCAGGATGAAATGGTATGAAAAATCTGCAAGAGGCTGACGGGAACTCTTATAGGTTTTTATGTCCTTTTAATACTATAACAATATTAAACATATAAAATACAGTAATGTTTGTGGCTCTAATTTAGGGTCAGGGTTTCTCCATTTTCAAAAGGCTTATATTCAGGTTTATTCTTTTGAGCTTAACCTAAAACCCACTGACAACTTTTTAAAACATCCTTCTCTTTTAAATGGACCGTATAAATAAAATTTCAAGGGAAAAGTTTAGGTTTCCACTTAGAAGACTATAGAGCGCTCCCGTTCCCGGCCTGGACCGGTTCACAGGAAATCTGTGCAGATGGCAGGCAGGCAGTGCAGCGCTTGGAAGTGCCATATATACTTGATAAAATGTCTGAGGGATACGGCTTGAAAGTGAATTCCTGTGAAGCATCCTGCAGTCTCCAAACACCGAGGCTTTGTTTTGACATCTTCCACACAGATCACAACAATAGAGGGCACTCATCCTCTGCTGGTGTTTGTCAATCCGAAGAGCGGGGGCAAGCAGGGGGAGAGGTAAGTACACAACCTGTCTCAACATGCTACAAGGGGCCTCTGAAGCCCCGCTCCGCAGCTACAGAGGGGAGGAAGCAGCATGGCCGCTGGGCTGGCGGCTGCTTTTTGACTTAGTCAAATAAAAACACAATCTGATTTACCTAAAGCGCCGGCCGCCTCGGAGAGAAACTCCTCTCACTGCCGGCTTCAGTCCCTTTCTGTAACCCAAGGCTAATTGGGTTATTACTGAAACATATTCATTCACTTCTTATTATGCCGGCCCTCATCTGTTTAAATTATGAGATCAAAATATGACTTCAGCCAGTTGATATAATGAAATTGAAATTAAAATGAATTAGTCTTTCTAATGGTTTCTCCTCAAGGGGACTTCAGACATTTTTCCGCCTTGCTGCCCAGTCCGCTGGCGTGTCGGTCTGATCGGAAACGGCTCTGTGTTTCCCCCCATTCACCAAGTGACAGAGTCAGCTATTACACTTTCACTCACTGCTTTGTTTCCTGACTTTTTTTCTTTTTCTATTAGGATTTATAGAAAGTTCCAGTATCTCCTGAACCCGAGACAAGTGTACAACCTGGCCAAGAGTGGACCAATGCCGGGGTACGTTGGAAAAAACCTTGTGCTAAATCAGTTAGCGTTGATATTCATTTCCATTTTGGAAAAAGAAGCCATTGTGGGACTAACTCTGAAGTTAATGCTAATGCAGATTTTAATTGCTTTTGACAACCAATCCAGGAGCGCTATTACAGTTTTTAGGCACTGATTGGCTACATCCCCAACAGAAAGATAAGAAGACGGTGAATGTTAGCTTATGATGTAGTGCTAAGATGATTTTCTCTGTGTGTATTAACAGATATTAAGGTATATTTGATGTTACAACTAACAAAGTAGGCAGATATAGGTGGATTTTTCACTGCAAGAACACAAAATCTGAAGTATTTTTGGTCTAGGTTCTTGGTACACTTGAAACACGACAAACCAGCTTATAAGTAACTTTAAGCAAGATGTTGGAGCTGGACTTAAGTCAACAATAATATTGATGAAAAAGATTTGGTTCCATTGGCAGATTGTTTGACTTAACAAGACATGCTCCTCATGTTATAAGTTGAATAAACTGCCAGTATTTTTCTTCAATATCAAGGAATTACTGACTTAGAACAAGTTTTCATATCTTGCTAAAATGTTGTAAGTTATTTTTGTCTTATTTCCAGGATACTAAGATATCTGCACTAAAAACTTGGTAACATTTTGTGTTTTTGCAGTATTGTCCTTAAATGTAGATGCAAATACCATTTTAATATTATGAATTACTTTAAAATGGTCTCAAAACAATATTATCGTATATTGCAATAACTTCTGGGATAATTTATCGTTTGGTTTGTTATCCTGTCAGGCTTAACTAATTATATTTTGAGAAATGACACATTTTTAAAAAATATATTTGTAATGGCATTTAACTAAAAAAAAAGCTAAGACAATTCATTTGTCATTCTGTTTACTCTGTTGTTGCTCACACATAATGATCCCATCACATGCAAGAGAGGCCTTTAGCATTACAGCCTCCACTTTCTCCTCCCTCACACATCACACACCCAAATGAGGTGAGTTCACATATAACACATCCTGGAGACGACCGCACCGAGCCGGATCCGCAGACAAGTAGCGGCTCTGTATGCATAAGACTATATGAGAGCTCATGACACAAATGACTGACGGATGCAGAGTGGGTGAAGCTCTTGCCACGCAACATGTGATCACGCATGCAGACAAGCAGCTCACCGCAGCCCGGCGGTGTGGACGGCGCCGGGTCCCCCACAGTTCATGGTTGTGATTAAGAAAATGAATGGATCATTTACATGCAAGAGGCTCGCCTGTTTGCCGCCTGCGTCCAGCAGCGTTCGGGACACGCAGGAATTTCTCGCCGCCGTGCTGCCACGTTGTTTGGCTTTGATTAGACCTGAAAAACAGCATCTTTTAGACTTATAAAAAATAAATAAACAGCAGCACACCCCTGCTTAAAAAAGGATCCAAGAGGTTTGAACTGCATGTATGAGAAGACAGCCGAGCTTTCAGCACCAGCAGTTTCATTTTGTTCATTTTCCACTGATGAGAACCAAAAACGTCATCTGGTTCTGGATGCAGAGATCCTGACAGCATACGCGATGACCTTCCCCAGTTTTAACCTAGTTAATATTTTGCCAAGTGAACTCACCGCAGCTCACATTAGCAGGGTGAGCAGTCACCATCGGACACTGCAGGCCCAGGCAGCCGCGTACACTGCTGTCAATTAGCTGCCTCCCTAATCAAATTACAGCAAATTAAGTGTTTGTTTCTTGGTATTTAAATATCCCCAAAGTTGCCTTTCATGTTCACGGCCGTCTGTTTTTGTGTCTAATGTGGTTTGCGGCCCCAGTTGGAGAGTAATTGAGCGAGTCATTTACCCGCCATACGAGGCAGCGAGGCTGGCTCATTCAGTTAGGGCTTTGTTATTGTGAAGGAACGGAGGAAGTTGGACTGAACATTGCCTGTCATGATCCAATTAGTCCCTGAACAGACAGTGTACCTCACTGAATGAATAATATCAATGCGACATGTGTTTTCTTTTTTCTTTTTTTTAGTGAGATTACGTTCAGTTTACAGTAAAGTAAAATGCTATTTTATAAAATATGTTGTTTAACATCTCAAATACAAGAAACTAAGAAAAACTAAGATATTAATAGGAGAAATCTTAGGAATTTTGAATCATTCTTTAATGTAAAAAAAATTGCTTTCCTGCTAATCACCTAAATAAAAAGATTAGGTTCAGTTTACCACTTTGTCTTCTAAAAATTAGAGGACATTTTTTTAGAGGGCAATATAAATTTCTGTTTCAAAACATTAACTTTTATCATTGCAGTTTGAACTTCTTCCGAGATGTTCCTGATTTTAGAGTATTGACCTGCGGAGGAGACGGCACTGTGGGCTGGATCCTGGACTTTATTGGTACAAATTGCTTCTTTTCAAATATTTTTTTGAAAATCCACGGAACATTTTCTTTCAAGCATTTTCTGTGATTTGGAGGAACACAAGAAATATTGGCAAATTGTAATTATAGGGGGAAAGGAATGCTTGATCTTTAAATATGTTGTAGTTCAAAAGTTGACCTGATATTCATTTTTCCCTATGTCACGTTGTGCTTGTGCAGAGCTCCAAATGAAATGAAAAAGGAAATGAAAACTATTGACTGAATTTTCAGCTTTGCACCCTATTTTTCGCACCATAAGTGTATATTTAACTGTTTTGGACACCGGCATTTAGAACAGTTAGTTGCTCTGACCGTAAAGCACCTTTCATAAACATTATGATATTTAGCCGAAGATGCTAACTGCTAAATTCTAGCGCTAGGCTAAAGTGCTAGCTTCTATTCTGATTTGACTTGTCCTCGAAAGACTACTACCGTCAAGCACCAATTTAGTTTCGACGTAATTTATACGTCATGTAATTCGCTTAGATGCATTTATCTTTACATCTTGTTCTTTTACGGGCAATGTTTTATTTTGTCCCTGCATGGTTCTTGTTTGAAATAAAGTTATTGGTGAAAAAAGAGCACGTAAAGAGAGGAAGCGGAACTGCTGCGGGTACATTCTTCGCCTCCTTCAAAATAAGAGCATGAATATAAACAGAATTCTTACCAGAATTTTTTTCAGAAAAATTTTGTAACATGTAAACGTTCAAGTACAGCACACACTGTATGTTTTTTCTTTGTAATTTTGTGTTTTTATTACTTAAAGCAAATAAACTTAATTGATTGATTAAAAAAACACTTGACAGCAATTATTCACAATGAAAATAATGCACCTTATACTTGAATTTGCCTTACATTTCTATAAGAATCTTAGTAACCTATGAAATAATAGCACAACAACTGTCCATTTCCTTTATTAGACACATTTCATTTGTTTTTATTGGTTTTTGAAGTCTCCATCATTCCTGTTGCTCAGCCGTCAATGGTAAAGCATCATTTATTGGTCATATATAAACACCTTGAACAAGCTCTGTGCTGTCGGTGGTGGCCAAATAGGATGATTACGTGAGAGAGGGAAAACAACATATTAGTCATCATTTAGAAAAAAAATCTCTCCTCTGTTTGGACTTGAAGGTGTGTTACTTCTTCATTCTCTCTAAAAATTGCCTCAATTTTTTTTTATCAATCAAAACAATGGTAGGTAATAACCGTCAGGCAAAATGTGGGTTTTGAAATTGGCTGCACAACTGAAAGTCCATATTGACTTGTTTTTACAAGCAAAGGTGCAAAATGGATTTGATTTGTTCGTTGCAAGTTTGTGTTGTGAATTTGCCCTCTGGGTTTGACCCCCTTGTTTGACACACTTGTGATTTTTGTCCCACTGCTCCAGATAAGGCCAACCTGGACAGGAGCCCCCCTGTATGTATACTTCCTCTTGGCACGGGCAATGACTTGGCGAGATGTCTGCGATGGGGAGGAGGTACTGGATACATATCAGGGAATAATTCATTTGGTTTCACCTAATGCACTTTTTTAAATAGAGAAGACATTTGTACTCTTGATTTATCATATAAAGATGTTAGGAAGAAAAGGTTCAGAGATTGGGAAATACAATCAAAGTTAAAACTTTCTGTCATGCACTGAGTAGTCATAACCTGATAATTATAGATGTGTTTTGTTGATTTATGTAGAAATATCTGACCATTCAGGTCACTTAAAAATGTAATTATCACTTCAACAATTATCTTGTATGAATATTTTAAATCAGTTTTGCAGTTTGTTAATTAACAATGTGAGTGTTTATGAGGGAGATGGTTGTTTGTCCCTCTTAAACAAAGCACTTCATTTTAGTCATACACTTTGGAAGTTTTCACATTTTCTCACATTAAAATCGCATTTTAATGTATTTTATCTAGTTTTTATTTAATAGAGAAACACAAAGTAGTTAAAAAATCTGAACCGGAATTAAACAGATTTTGTTTTTTTAATCCATAATTTATACAGATAAAAATGTAAAAAGTGTGGCAACTATTTGCATTGTGCCCTGTCTGAGCCAATACTTTTTTTACTGTAACCACAGTGGTGAGTCTCATACAGCCTTGTGCTTCTCGAGACCTGTTTTTTTTTTTTTTTTTTTTTTTTTTCCAAAGTCGTTCAACTTTAGATTCGATGGGCAATGTCTATAAACATCAGTTTTTAAGTCTTGAACTTTGACTGGGCCGTTCTGACACCATTCAGTTGCATTGCTGACTGTATATTTAGGACAGTAACCGTCTTTTAACGTTGTCTGCATATTTGTACCTTTCCTATCTGCTGTGTTCCTTAGTGTTTGTTCTCTAATTCTCTCTAACAAACCTCTAAAGCCAACACAGAACAGCTGGACTAAATTACAGAGAGTGTTTTTATTTCTGAAGGCATTTGACTGCACTGGATTTTATTTAGCTGCATCTGATAAAAGGAGGTTAAATACAAATGAGCAGAAAATCTCTCCGAGTTATTTTTGTTAAAAGTTGTGTCTTTTGTTCTTCCATTTCACATTTATGCACTACTATAAGGTGCTCTTTCTTTCACATAAGATCCTGATAAAATGCATCCATAACATGTGAAAATGTTCCTTTACCTGTTTTAATCTCTCACCTGTCTTGTGCTTCTCTGAGGCTATGAGGGCGAAAACCTCCTGAAGATCCTTCGGGACATCGAGAACAGCACAGAGGTGATGCTGGATCGCTGGAAGATCGATGTGACATCTGCTGACAAGGAGGAGCGAGGGGACCCGGTGCCTTACAGCATTATGAACAACTACTTCTCCATAGGAGTGGTGAGTCTTGACACTCACACTGTACATACGTTTTATTTTAACAACTTCCACAAAAAAAGATTAAGATGAAAATCAGAAGATCAGTGGTTTTTGATTGAGATTAATTTTGTTTTTGATGGGTGAGAATGAAAAGTGATGAAAAGGATGAAAAATAAATAATTGATCTCCTAAAAAATTTGTCAAACCTGAAGAAATGTTTTAGACTTGGAAGTTGTTCATATTTACACTAACACCTGTGTTTTTCATAGGAGTTTGGGACCACAGCTTTATGTGTATCAAATCAAATTGAATTTTAGTAACAAGGAAGGTCAAAGTGCTTTACATCACAAAAACACAAAAATTAACAATTGAAATGTTACATTTTTCCAAGTATCGTCATTACACATCAACATGTTGGTCAGTGTTTTCATTTATTATGGTTCAAAAGCCGCTCTGATCAGGTGGGTTATTAGTCTTGATTTAAAGGAACTCAGTGTTTCAGCTGTTTTGCAGCTTTCTGGAAGCTTGTTTGAGGTTAGTCAATCAATCATGTTTTGTTTGTGTTACACATTTCAGCAACAAAGCGTGTGTGTTTTACATCATAAAACACAAAAATACAAAGTCAGAACACACAGTCAACAACTGAAGGATTACATTTTGTTGCCGTTACACATCAGATTGTAACGGCAATAAATGATTAATTTTTCACTTATAATGTTTTAAAAGTTACTCTAAACATCTGAGTTTTCAGTCTAGATTTAAAGAAACTCAGTGTTTCAGCTGTTTTACAGCTTTCTTGAAGTTTGTTCCAGATTTTTGGTGCATAGAAGCTGAATGCTGCTTCTCCACATTTGGTTTTGGTTCTGGATCTGGATGCAGAGCAGAACCAAAAGACATGAAAGATCTAGAACAGGGGTGTCCAGAGTCGGTCCTGAGGACCAGCATCCTGCATGTTTTAGTTCTCTCCCTGGTTTTACACACCTGCATCAAATGATGGCTCATTAGAGGCCTAAGCAGAACACTGACTTGCTGAGGAGATTGTTACTACCACTAGGGAGAGAACTAAAACATGCAGGATGCCGGTCCTCGAGGACCGACTTTGGACACCCCTGGTCTAGAAGGTTGATAAAATAACAGTGGATCTTTAATAGGGAAGCACCAATTTACCGGCGCCGATTTCCTTAATTTTGAGAGATTGGTGATCAGCTGATACTTGAAGCCGATCTTATCTCCCTCTGCAAAAGTCTGAAAATCAACCACTGTCCTCTTCTGCTCTGCTGTGAGAGAAGTTTTACTGACAGACGAGGTCATGTCTGCACATTTGCAGTCACCCCACTCTTACCAATTCAGCAACTTTTTTGCTGTAATTAGAAACATTTCAGACAAAAAATTGGTATCGGCCAAAATCGGAATCAGCAGGTCAGGCTTTTTAAAGATCGGTTATTAAGCTGTTTGGTGATTTATAAACTAACAACAGTATTTTAAAGTCTGTTCTCTGAGCTACAGGGAGCCAGTGTAGGGACTTTAGAACTGGGGTGATGTGCTCTATCTTCCTGGTTTAGCTAAAATTTGCAAATATCAGCTTTTCAAGACTGATTCCTATAATTTTATTGCACATCTTTAGGATGATGTGACATTTTTTATATCTGAGAGAGACTAAAAAATGTCAGTATCACTTATAATCAGGGATGTTTAAAAAAATGCAGTCATTTCAACAACAAAGGTGATAAAAACACATTAGTTTGTAAAATAGTCTAACATTGAGAATGAGTTTTTGCTATAAATAAAGTCCAACAATGCTTTTATAGACATCTTATAGGTGAAAGGTCAAAGTGTGCGTGCGTGCGTGCGTGCGTGCGTGCGTGCGTGCGTGCGTGCGTGCGTGCGTGTGTGTCTATATATCTACTTGCTCTGCAGAAGTGTAATTGCAGCAGACATTAGTAAAGTAAAAAATAAAACTGCCTCCATCAATATTTGCATCTGCTATTAAAGGTAGAATTTAAAAAGTAATACATCGCAGCGCACACACAGCAACAGCATAATCATTTAATTTATTTGTTTTGAGCACATCGTGGTTAGGCCTTTATTGAGATGTGCTCAAGCTGTAACCACCTCTGATCGATAAATAAGCCTTGTTTTGCATCTGCGTGGGGTTACGGAGCCGTCGGCACCTCCTCTGTCCATCTCTGGGATAATGACTCTGATTTCACGTAGCTCATGTTAGCCATTACCCATAAATGTCAGGGGGAAATATGGTAATTGACATTTGCAGGTGTCTGAATGGATCCACTGGGGGTTGTGAGATTTGTACGGACTGTGGCAGGGACATAAGTGATGCATGGCCTCACAAATGTTAGTTGAATAACACCTCCATCCCAGGCCCATTAATGACCGTGTTTGAGGATAATAAAGGACAGGTCTAGTTAACATTGTGATAGAGGAGACCAACGGTTCCAATCTGTCTTAGGAAGAAAACATATGGTAGTGTCTGCAGGGGGGAAGTGTTTACAGCATTTTCTGAGGTTTTATTGCAATAATTTCCTCCTGTAAATGCCAAAAGTTACTCATTTCTGACTGCACTTTACAGTAAATGGTTGACATGAATGAAAAAGGTGGTTCAGCTGGAGAAGAGAAAGGGCATCAAGCCAACTACAGATTGAAAATATTAGATTTAAAATTTTTTAACATTAGAAAATACATACCATAATACAGAGGTTCCCAAACTGTGGGGCGCGACCCCTGGGGGGGGCGCCGTGCCATTGCAGGGCGGGCGCAGGAAGTGGTATGCATGAATGGAAACAGAAAATATTTTGAAACCACTGGGGGGATCCAGGAGAAAAAGTTTGGGAACCACTGCCGTAATAGATCATACAAAACACTAAAAGTTCTTTTAAAACAGCATTTCTCAGGCTGAGGTCCACTTAACCCATTTAACAAAAACTCACATACCATCTAACTTTACATTGTCCCTCAGTAACACATATTAGGATGGATTTGGTTTAAAAAAAGAGCTCATGTAGGTTAAAGGTCAAATTAAGTTGGTCTCTGGTTCATAAAGGCTTTTTAAACTCTGTGGCTTTAGCTCTGCACTGCAAAAACACAAAATATTGCCAAATAATTTTGTTCTAGTTTCTAGTGTAAATATCTTGGTACACTTGGAATTAGACAAAACTAACTTAGAAGTGGCTTTCCAGCAGTATAGGAGCTTATTTTAAATCGGTAATTTCTTAATATTGATGAAAAAGTCCTAGATCCACTGGCAGATTATGTCTTGTTAGAAGTGAAATGATCTGTACTTTTTTATCAATATTTACTCAAAACAAGCTCCTATATATTACTGAAAAGTTGCTTGTAAGTTAGTTTTGTCTTATTTCATGTGTACTGAGATATTTGCCCTAAAACTAGATCAGAAATGAGACTTTGTGTTTGTGGGATCAGGACCCAGCAGGCGTAATGATGACAAATGAAGTTGTTTGCGGGGGATTAAGAAGACTTTGAGCTCTCTATGGATTTGGGTGTGATATAATATTTTCTATGCATCAAATTTTCTCCTTTTTATTGAATGTGAAAAAGACTACAATAAAGATTATGAGGCAAGTGAAGCTAATAATTACTTTAGAGATTATGCAGATGAAGAGAGAATTGCTTCTGCTGGATTTCAACACATCAGCAGAACCAGCCAACATGGACGCCGAAGGTTTCCAGTTTGGTGAACTGATTTCAGTCTCACACACTGTAAAACATTGGAGGGCGATTTAACTTAGAAATGCAATTAGAAAATCATTTCAGTTTTAACTCAGAAATTAAAGTTCATGAAGTTGATTTAACAACAAGAGACAAGTTGTTTAAACATTGTTTTTAACTTAATGTCTTAACTTATTGCTACAATTTAACACAAATAATTAAATTTCACAATATGGAAGAAAAAAGACTGTCCTCACCTTGTTAAAGAGCCACATTTCTCTATTATTTTACTCACAATATCAAGTTAAAATAACTACTTATTTAACTTTAGAATAATTAAAATTCTTGTTTCAAAATTTCTGATCTGATAATGAATTTTACTAAAGATCGCAAATAATTCTAAAATTAACATTTGCCTTAATAAAACACAAGAGTCAGGTCAATGTAACGCACTTCCATCTCAGGATACAAAAACATGCCGCAAAGCATTCTGGAAAATAGTTCCCACTCCTCTCTTTTTCTTCTTTCAGTTTTTTAAGTGCAAACCTAAAAACTCTACTTGATTCAACTCTAATAAAAAGTTAATGCACCTTACTGCTGTGAGTTTATGAGTTTATCTCTCTCAAACTCACACATTCAGGTTCAGAATCTAAAACAAATTTAAACTTAGAGTAGAAGGTAGTAGACACAGCTAAATGCAGCTCAAATGTTTTACAGTGCACCACCTTTCTTTCGTACGGAGAACCGCCTTTTTTTTGTCTCCTTTATGTAAATTCCTCCACCCCAACCTGCCACAGCCCAGTGGGACGGGGAATTAATGGCGCCATCCCTTTGGGAGGATGTGGAAGTGACGTGAAGTGTAATGATCTCAATCAGGGCCAGGGGTGAGAGACAGAACTAATCACTGAGCGCGCTCCGCTACCATAATGCAGTCAGGCCCCTAATGACCGCGGCTCTCCTGTCAAAGCCATTACTCTCCTCTGTGGTGAAAGGCACATCAAACCGCTGGGGCCCACTCATAATTGGACTAAACTTTGAGCTATGAGAGGACATTACACATGTCCTGTATTAATTTGGGTGCCAGACCTTTACATTGGTAATTATTTGAGTGAATGAGTGAGATTCTGACGTCTCACTACGGCCCTACTGGAGCTGACGTGGAGTCCAGAGCGGATAAATATAACTAAAATAGTTTATAATCTTATAAACTATTTTAAAATTGACTCACTGGACTGTGTTTACGAAGGCTTGGATCAAATTGTATGTTTTCTGTATTTAAATTTTTGATTTATTTATGATCATTTTCTAAGTTTAAATTTAATCATTTGAACAGAAAAAAATATTTTGAGTACAACTAAATATATATACTGAAATAGTTCCAAGTTTATCTATTCATTTACTTACATATTAATTGTCCCATTCTTTAGTAAGGAAATGAATAAATATAATATGTTACAATGTTATAAATTATTTTAAAATTGACTCACTGGACTGTGTTTACTATAATGAAGTATTTAAATTCTGGATCATTTTCTGAGTTTAAATTTATTCATTTGAGCTGAACAGAAAAAAATTTATATAATTTATAATTATATAATAATATATTTTCAGTACAGCTATATATATAAATTTTCCATGTTACTGTATTTATTGACATACATATTAATTGTCCCATCACTATGTGTAAGTTAATGCATTGAATTCAACTTAGTTTTGTGTTTTATAAATGTTTTATAAATTTTATTAATTGTATTTTCTGTTGTATTATTTATTTATTAATTTATTGATTGGATATTCCCCAATCTTAATTTGATTAAATTCTGTATTCTTCTTAATGAAGATCTTAAGTTCAAGTCAGTCTAAAATATATTTAGTTAGTTAAGTCATCGAGTTATCCACAATTATATATATATATATATATATATATATATATATATATATATATATATATATATATATATATATAAAATTATGATTCATTTGTATTTAATCTTTTTTAATTACATAATCTTTATTTGTCACAGGATGATAAACAAATCTTATGTTAATGAAGTTACTACATTAGTAGCTCTTCATAAACTGTATTTGATTGGTGAGCTTTTGTTTTTGTTATCTATTATATTTGTGTCTGAATTTAAAACCAAATTAGCAGAAAACGCAGAAAAGTTATCACTCATTTTTGCAGTTTATTGCATAAACACAAATTTATAAATGCTGTATTTCTAAATGCTACTGTAAATTACAGGTATTCTTTAGCTGTTTTTTTCTGTGTTTATGTGGCATTAAATGTTTATTAATTTACCTCAAAAGCGCAGTGAGATGACAAAATCAGTGGTTAAAATGAGTGAGCGCTGCTGCAGAGCCACAGCTCTGCTTGTACACATCTCAGATAATAGACCTTAAACCAAAGGGGAGACATCCTCTCCAAGCTTTTGCTCTCTTGTTTGCAGCTATTGTCCTGTTTGTAAGAAAATCGAGTTACAATCTCTCAGATACATCCATCACTTCACCCTTCTGGCTCGCGTTGGAAGCGTGAGGCGAGTCTGCAGGGATCTTGAAGAAATCTTTTGGTCTTCTGCTAACAGCGTCTTGAAAAGACATCAAGAGACGCCATTGATTTTTCTCTTTTGGCTTCTCCTGAATTTCTGTACAGAGAGCTAGCAGGGGGTCCTCCCTGTAGGTGCAGTTTCAATAGTGCCACTCAAAACGGAGCGGGTCAAAACAGATTGCTTTAGCAGAGGGGGGAGAGGGAAATAAAAAAAAGACCAAAAAGTTTACAGTAACTTTTTTATTCACTTTGCCTTGAACAAGTTTGCGCCATTCGTTTTTCCACAAAAGGCTGTGCCAGCGTTTTTCTGCTGACACGGACTTGGAAGTGTGAATTAAAGGAAATTTCTGGTATTACCTCCTTGAAGCTAATTATATTTGGTTTCACACCGTCGAGGGCTTCTTATGAATTAAATAAACTGGAGTTTTTCCATCTTATGTGACTGACTCCTTGTTTCCACTCACAGAAGCTGTTTGTACAAACTTTTTAAGGCTCATAAGAAGTGTTTGTGTGTTTACAGTCTTAAAATCTGCTTTAGTGGATCTGTTTTCTGGTCCAGCCTCACACCTCAGACTCGTTTCTACATGAATTAAGTCAGTTATTAGTTCCTCAGAGTTCAGGTTTTGACCCTTTGCAACTATGTCACTTAATCGTTTCAGGCGCCATGATGGACGTCAGAAGTGAGACACAGGAATACTGAACAGAGCTACTGAAGTTGTTTTCCAAAGATGTTTTTGTCAGTTTATTCGTGGTTTCTACTTGTTCGATTCAAGCTAATTCATCTCTGAACGTAACACACCTGGTTGGGGCTCATAGATGGTGGTATTTATAAAAGTTGGAATAAATACCATCATTTATTCCAATGATGTGTTTCTAAGCTAGCTTTCTTCTCTCACGTGTTCCTGAGTAATATCAGTAGTTTGTGTATATATATTATTATTTTTTTATTTTGGTAAGAAGTATACCATTTATTTTACAGTCAATTTTGTCCTTTATCTGCTTTTTGCTCCTCCATCAACTATCAAAACTCAGAAAACTGTTTGCAAACATGTTAAGTGGAAGGAAAATGTGCTTTAGGAAAAACTACACAAGCAGCAAGGATGGAGAAGTTTGATCAACAAAGTGTCATTGTAGATATTTTACATATTTATACATTGTTTATTTTTTACAGTGCCATGCTGAAGCATTTATCCTTCCTGAATATTTCATTTTTTTATTTTTACATTAGTACCACAAACATCAATGTATTTGTTTGGGATTTGATGTCAGCATAGCCTTAAAGAAGATGGAAAATGAAACTTAACTCTCATTTTTATGGATGAAAATCTGTTTGTATCAATACCAAACTAGCTGCAGATATTTTAGAGTACATTTCTAGAAAGTGAAATTTTTGTTTTTTTTTCCAAAATGCCAGAAGCTCAGTCAGATTGGGTGGATTGATTCTGATCCATTTTACTTTTCTGTTGGAGAGAAACATCAGGCAAATCAAAACTTGAATACGACAACCTTTACAATACTTATGGTCTTTTCACCCCAAAATAAATATAACAAAAAATATCTGAACCTCCAACATATGAAATGTCTCTGATTGCATTTATTGCCCCAGGTTACAGAGAACGAGAAGCGGAGGATGGGGGAGGTGGAGAGTGACTTACAGGAAGAAGGATGGTAAACAATTTGGTCGCCAGGATGATAACAGCATCCTGTAAGCTGAGTTGGGAGCTGTGATTACTCACAACATGTGTTAAATTAATTAACCCATATGGAGACAATGTGCTGTCTATAATGGATCCTCAGACCCAACCCTTCATCCTATAGAAGCACAAACAATGAAAACCTGGTTAGTTAGGATGCTACTCAACCCGTCAGTAAGACTTTTTGTTGTCACCAAGCAACATTTGATACTTTTTGAACTAGTCCTGAATAAAAGAAGTAATATTTCCACATACAGTGATATGAATGTTTTCTTGTTTCTTTTGTTTAAATGTTTTAGATACCCACACAAATGCTTATTATCAAAGAGAAATGTTTTTTTTTTTCTTTTTTTTTTTTCGTTTTCGTTTTTTTAGTTAACATGGAGTTTTCTGATTGGCTCCATTAGAAACTCATGTCTATTTCAGTTAATTAGATCTGTTGTAACAAAGGTAAACCAAAATATGTGGTAATTTACTGTTAATTAATAATTTTACTAGGTCACTATTTCATATAAGTCCAGGTTTGTTTAAAGTATTATCACCAAATTCTTATGTCTCTCTTTCAGGATGCATCTATTGCACATCGTTTCCATGTGATGAGAGAAAAGCACCCGGAGAAATTTAACAGCAGGTATGTTGATGCCCTTTGACCTTGTAAACACTTTTCAACTAAATTACAATAGTGAAGACACAAGATAAGAAGCATACTGACAAAAGGTTGAAATTAAGCTTCTTAGAGTAACCTTGGTTCTTTAAAAGTTGTAAAAACCAATTTTTAGTTTATTGAGAGTAAACTTGGATGTTGGCATGTTACTTGTCATATTGACCACTTGCACGTGACGTCACGCTCTCCAGAACTCTGCCCCCTCGGCCATGAAGGACGTCAAAACAATCAATGGGCTCCTTTAAAGCTAGTCTAAAAACAGACATCTGTAACCTTTCTTTTTTTTTATTTGTGTTATATAGTTAACATCCCGTCTCACATTCCATTCCACTAGATGGCGGTAATGCATATCTAAACGTTGCTTGCCAACCGCCACAAAAAAAAAAAAAAAAAAAAAAAAAAAAAAAAAAGGGTCTTTGGCCCCATATTTCTTTTTTTTTTTTGTTTTTCCCTTTAAAAACCGGAT